CTTTGGATCACCGATGTCGCTCAAACTTTTTATGCTTGTAGAGCACATGGAAAGTAGTCACGTTATATAACTGTAGCGCGTAACTTGCTGGAATAAGGGAGAAATTTACGGTTGAAATCTATCGAGAATTGCGGCACGAGTGTCCTTATGAGGAAGCATTTCATCCTTTGAAACAATGACTTTATTTGAAATTTGTCTAATTATAGAATATGTAGGAAGGAATGTTGCGAAACTATAGTGCGCAACTCTTTCAAATAAGGGAAAAATTTACGCTTGACATGGGGAGGTGAGAATAAGGGTAGTTACGAATTTGTAAACTAGGAGGTTTGGATTTTTGCAAAATTGAAAATTAAGAGATTTGGAAATATAGAAATCTGGAGATTTGGGGATTTGGAGACTTGGGGTTTAGGAATTTGGGGATTTGGAGATTTGGAGAATTGGAGATTTGGAGATTTGGAGATTTGGAGACTTTGAGATTTGGAGATTTGGAGATTTGAAGATTTGGAGATTTGGAGATTTGGAGATTTGGAGATTTGGAGATTTGGGAATTTAGAGATTTGGGGATTCGGAAATTTGGAAATTTCGGGATTTGAAAATTTGGATATTTGGAGGTTTGGAGATTTGAAGATTTGGAAATTTGGAGATTTGAGGATTTAGAGATTTGAAGATTTGGAAATTTGGATATTTGGAGGTTTGGAGATTTGGAGATTTGGAAATTTGGAAATTTGGAGATTTGAGGATTTAGAAATTTGGAAATTTAGACATTTGGAGATTTGGAGATTTGGAAATTTGGAGATTTAGGGATTGGAGATTTGGGAATTTGGAAATTAGGGGATGTGGACATTTGGAGATTTCGGGATTTGGAAATTTAGAAATGTCAAAATTTGGTAATTTATGGAATGGATTTGGTAGCTTAGGAACTTTACAATTTTTAAATCTTCAAATTTTCATGTTTAAATTTTGGAAAATTTGAAATTTTGGGTGTTTAAACGTTTGAAAATTTGAAAATATAGAAATTGAAGTACTTTAAAATCTCGGAATATAGTAATTTACGAATGTAGGGACTTAGAAATTTGGAAGCTTTGCGATTTGGAAATTAAAGAATCCTATCACTTGAAAATTTAGAAATGCACTAATAACAAACTTTAGTTTAGAAAATATGTTAAAAGTCCACTTTCCTCAACTCACAATTAAATATTATCACTATCTCTCCTTATATGCTATTTTCGATTTATCATCTTCGTACACTAATGATAGTTACGATCATTTTCCCGCCACTTCAACAGTAGTTATAAAAAGTGGTACACTTTCATGCTATTATTCTAGGATTGCTACAAAATGGCTGCTTGACAGTTGCAGGAAACAATGATTGATTTAAAAACATCAATATAGTAATATTACTCCACCGTAAAAAAATACCTGGTTTGAATGAATAGAAAGCTTAAAGTTTGCTAAAAATGGCGGTGTAACCTGCTCATCAACGTCCTTAATACACAATTAATTATTAATCGCTAAATAACTATTTTATAGGAACGGCTGATATTAAAGACATTCATGAAATATTTATGCAATTATTTTTAGTGTACTTCGAGCTTCAAATCAATGCTCCACATATACTATGCTGCGATACTTTCATGTCATCAGATGTCAGACATTTTGTTATTCGAAAATCGAATATTTAACATAATTTTGTTAACACATTTGACTTAATAATTTACAAACATTAGAAATTGCAAAAATTATTAAACGAATTTAAAATTATAATGTTTGCAATTGTAAATGATTCAAGATTAAAAATTTGAGATTTGTCACATTATTATAAAATTGAGTCTCGTTATATTGCCGTATAAACGAAATAGTAAAAAAGTAATAAAAAATATTGGTAATAATAAAAAATTGTGATTATGCAGTATGCATTACGTTTGTGATTAGCAATACATTATGTTCACCAGAAAGTAAATTCCCGCAAAGGTGGCGATATAACGAGAGTCTACTGTATAAGGGACATTAATCAGGTATCGTTATCCTCAGCGTTATCCTCATTTCTTAACCGTGTTTTCTGGCGTTAGATTTTTATAACAAATCGACTCACTAATTACAATAAAAAACATAGGAACACTGTGCAACCAGAATAAGAAGTGTTTAAATATGTAATAAATCCTCGTTGAGGCTTGTTGTTCTTCAAGGCTCGTTCGAAAAAGAAACCAAGTAGGAAAGAAAGCCTCATAATAGAATAAATGATTCTTGTTCCGCTTTCGTTCTGCATTACGTATACGTGCACGTACGGTACAATCTTACTTGAATAGTAACTCATTTGTTTTTTGCTAACGGACCGGCATTGATCACCGGTCTTCTTTCAAACTTTTTTCATCGAACATCCTTTGCTTGTTACCGAAAGATTCATGAGCCTCAGGTAAATCGGAGCCATTATAGGTGACCAGGTATAGATGAGTTTGCATTCTTTCGTCCTTTTCTTGCTCGATAAAATATATACTCAGGGGCGCATTGACACTTTTGGGAGATACAAATATTAATATGATTTTGGTATCTTCGTATGCATTTAATTTAAAGTATTGTCTGTAAAATAGTATTTCAGTTTTAGAAGCGGAAGTTTGGGATTTTGGATCTTTGGAACTTGGAGTTTGGAATTTGGGGACTTTCGGATTAGGGAGCTTTAGGAGTTTGGGACTTTGGAGTTTGGGGACTTTGGGTTTGGTGATATTGGGACTTTGGAGTTTGGGGACTTTGGGTTTGGTGACATTGGGACTTGGAGAATTTGGGGTTTGGGGATTTTGGGGTTTGGGACTTTGGGACTTAGGGAATTTGGGGTTTGAGGACTTTGGGGTTTAGGGACTTTGACGTTTGGAAATTTTGAGATTTGAGGACTTTGGAGATTGAGGACTTTGAGTTTGGGGACTATGGAGCTTGGGGACTTTGGAGATTGAGGACTTTGAGTTTGGGAACTATGGAGTTTGGGGACTATAGAGTTTGAGGACTTTGGAGTTTGGTGATCTGGGGACTTGGGAAATTTGGGGTTTGGGAATTTTAGGGTTTGGAGATTTTGGGGTTTGTGGAATTTGGAGTTTGGCAACATTGAGGTTTCAGAACTTTGGGATTTGTGGACTTTGGAGGTTTGAAGATTTTATGATTTAGGAGTTTTGGGATGTTAGGACCTTGAAATTCTTAGATTGTGGTACGCTGAAACTTCAGAAGTTTGAGATCTTCTAGCTTTAGATATTCAGAAGTTTGGAATTTTTTGACATTGAGACTTGATATTTGAAATTTGGGAATTTCGTAAATTGGGGATCATAGAATGTGAGACTTAAGAACTGTAGACATTTAAGATTTTATGATTGTAAGATTTTGTGACGAGGGAATTATGGAATTTCAAAACTTCGGGACATCAAGAGTTTTTTAATTTGAAGACTTTGCAACATTATATCTTTATAACTCTAGGATTTTGATACTTTGAAACTTTTGAACTTTAGAAGTTTGAGATTTTTAAACTTTTGAATTTATAATTTTGGGATTGTAAAACTTTAGAGGTTCGGGACTTTGAAGTTTCAAAGTCTTGTAATTTATAATATTGGGATTTAAGGACTTATAATATATTCCGTTGAAGTAATATTTAATATAATATAATGTTCAATATAATATTCCGATTCGGAGTAATAGTGCTTTGAAATTTCAGAAATTTGAAACTTTAGATCATTGAAACTTTGAAACCTTGAAATTTTAAAAGTGAGACTAAACCTTTAGAAAAAAAATTAAGACTTTGAAACTTTGAAATTCTTGAACTTTCTTTTAAGGATTTCTGTAGCATCTCTGTTACTCTTCATACTCCAACCACGTGCTTAGTTTGTTTTCTGATTAATTCACCCCTGAGGATACTAAAATCAGGAATTAAAATTTAAAATGGAAGCAATTTCAGAGTTACAACGGAGTTAATCTTGGACTTAATATGTTTTCATATTTGTTTATCATGTGTCACATTGGGTTATTTCAAATTTGCTCTGATTTTGACATTGTAAATATATAAAACTGTGATATTTCTCATTGTGAATATATAAAAAAAGTCTGCAAAAATCCAGTGAAATAGTTTTAATTATATAATTTGAGGTTATGCTAAAAAAAATTAAAGAAGTTTAAAATACTTAATTTAAGGTTATGTTAAAAAAAATTAAAGAAGTTTAAAATACTTAATTTAAGGTTATGCTAACAGAAATTAAATAAGTTTCATGTTCATAATTTAACATTATATTAAAATAAAATTAAATACATAACTAATACATAATTTAAGATTATGTTAAAAAATTAAAGAACCTGTTTGTGAAATTATTTTGCAATACCAAAACAATTACAATTAACAATTATTTTGCATAATCAGTATCCTATAGGAAAAATGATACTTATCGACACAGTTATTGATACACGAATAACATAAAGCGGTTTCAACGTTGTACATTAATTTCTTACTTACAACTTTCGAAACAAAATGTCGCCCAACTTTTTAAAAAATGATATCAATTAGAGGCAAAAACGTTTATCTCTAATGTGAAAAAATAAACGAACTAACCTGCCTATCGAATTTATAGCTAAATATTTATTAATATTTATTAATATAAATGTAAATACATAAATATTATATTATATTGTTAATATAATAATAAGATATAATTATACCCATACAATTTACATAATTAATATTCCTATTAAAATCTCTCATTTCCTTACAGGGATCTTCTACATCCTTCATTGCCTTAAACTTCTCATCGTTCAAAACCTAAACTAAATTTTATCTAAATTAAATCAAATGCAAGATTTAGCCATTTCAAAGTAATTTGTATACATTACATCCAGTTATTTTTATTAGAATAAAGATTTCATAAAATAACCCCCCTTGTTGGCATAAAAATCTGAGACATCTTATCTCATAACAGACCCTAACATACCAATCCAGAATATTCCACAATAAAACAAAAAGAAAGTATATTACTTACAGCCACTTGATGCACTTGCCACCTTGAACCAGCAAGAGGAAAAGCAGCAACCAAGCTTTAGCGCCGCTTCTGTTCATTCCAAACATCTTTGTTCACTTTACATTCTAAAAGATCAGCATTCTTCTTCCGCACTTAACAGAAATCTCTCCGCATATCGTTCATCGAACACACAATCAAAATTATTTCCTAAACACTGTCTGAAGGGTTGTCACCATTGCTAGCTCCATCGTAATCAAATCCGTACAAGAATGTTCGCATGCCCGTTTCCAAGCGACGTCGTACCGATTTTCTTCGTTGTTCAAATAATATAAACCGAAGATTAACTAACGTCTCAAGTTGACAAGAGAATCGCGATGGAATAAATTGTCTATTTAAAGACACGCCTCCGTTTCTTTAATTATATCCGTCGACAGAAAGACGAAGCGGCCACTCACAAATCACACGCAAACCCCTGATTTATAATATCTGCTGGCTGGATCTCTAGCATCGTAATTACACTCGATTTCCAAACGGTCCGGGTGAAAACGTCTCGTGCACACTCAGTGATATTTCGTTTCGCGTACGATGATAGCCGATTACGAATGTACACTATTTGGTCGATAGATCAATTACCGGAACACCTGAAACTCGCACTATCCTCAATGATCTGCGACCGATCCGCTATCGGGGAAGTTCCTTCGCGCCGTCCCGTGCTGCAGGGAGTCTGCGTGGTTACAGGTGTCCGTCGAGTCGTCCCGCAGGATCTACCGGTCGACGTGGAGGTGGAATCCTCCTACTACTACTCTATTTCCTCCTACTTCATCTAGTCGTTTTTCGTTGGATGAGGAACCGACCACCGGGGATGCCCATTGGAATACAGACGCCAAGGATCCAGGATCATACTGATGGATAAAGGACAGTTTACAACTGGGAATCCTCATAATTTTATCAGAACTAATTTTACTGAAGAAGCTTTCCATAACTTATCACATATATTAGTTTATATACAGTTTACATGCGTCACGTGCACAGTTTGCATATATCAGTCTGTGATAGAAGATTATACATGAAAATATAAAATACAAACGATAAGTGATTTTCAGTAGGTTTATGGGACTTTGATCTGTCGAAAGCTGATTTTACAAAAGATTTTACAAAGGCAATTTTGGTTGCAATTTCTCTAAACGTTAATTTACTTCCTGCAGCTTTAACTATTGATTGCTTCAATTTTTAAATTTTTTATTATAATAGAAATTTTGTAATATAACATTTAGAATTATCCTAAATAATGTATGAAAAAGTGAATGTATGAATGTATGAAAAGGTAGTCAAGAAATGTTTGTAATTTTACAATGTGATTATTATACTTATAATAAACTTATTTTTGTCCATAAAAAGATATATTACTTACTGAATTAGCAGTGCAATACTCATAAACGAAAGAATATTAACATCGAACATGAAGATTCCAAAATAAAAGTAAAACCTTTGAAAATTTTGCAATTTGAACAAATCTTCAAGTGTCAAATCAAATGAGTCTTAAACAGTCAAATCCTTCCACATATTCTGTTTATACCACAAATTATATGGTTGTTATTTCATAAGATTTGCTCAAACATTTCAACTATCGCTAATCTAGTTCTTGATAAAGTGATATTTTGTAAAATATTCGTAAATAAGATACCAGACTAATTCTACTGATCGAGTTCGATGTTTCTTTAGCTTGGCCAACGGTTAATTAAATATAAGCTGTTTCTGCCATTACATGCTTATTACTGATCCAGTTGAACTGCAGAAATATCAATAGGTAACAATAAGAAATGTAGCAAAAAGCTACCATGTGTTGAACAAATTGCAGGTATGATTGGCAATTAGTTTGGAAGAGAAAGCGGAGTAGTATATTATTCCAGAACCCGGAGTCACCATTACGAATATCACCGAAAGTATCTCGAAAGGTCTAAGAAGTTGATTCGTTCTCTATGGATCATTTACTTCGTGTCTTACTTCAAAGATTGCTTACATATTTTTTAATTTAATGTCTTAATAAATAACTGATGCACTAAACTGGCGCCTTCACTGGAGACACCAATGTCTTCAAATTTAATATTAATAGAAGATAGATATTCAAAATTAATATTATTTCTAAATTAAAATCGCTAAATAGTATTGGTGTAAAATATGTAAAGAGAAGAAACTTTAATTTACAACGTTTTAAACAAATATTAATAATGAACTTTTATAAACAATATGACTGAGTGTGATCTCATATTTCACTGAACATGAGTTATAATATATGAACCAGTTACTTTAGTATTATACTAAAGTATCGTACGTACTAAATTTATTGTAAGTATATTTTCAATCTAAGCGTAGGTAAAAGTTCAAATTATGCGTTTGAAACTCAAAATAATTATTTCGGTGCCCAAATAGTAATCTAGAGAAAACGTACGTACTCTATAAGTTACACGTACCTAACCTCAAAAAAGTTGCTAACAAAGAAAGTATTGGTGAAATTTGAAGAAAGTAAAAAATTGTACTGACAATTTATAAAATGTTGATGATGAAAATAATCTTAAAACTATTGTTAACAAAGAGTATTTCCAGAATCTTGCTAAGAGAATCCAGAAAATATTAATAATGAAGGTAATCTGTTCCTCGCGTGATCGTTCACGTTGAAAATTGAAACAAGTCGATGCCAAAATAACGAAGGAACATCTTTCTCTTCATCTTCTAATTTCGCATCTTGGTAATCTCCTATCTGCGATAAATAAACCTCTGTCGGACCTTCATTACGTCGTTAAATTTAGATTGGATACACCCTCTGTTTACGAAGTCTTATTTATTTATTACACCCTCGCTTTTACGATAACATACCACGTAATGATGGATATTCAAAATTTTATCGTGCAAGTTTTCGAATAATTCATACTTAAACTTCAAGACACTTCAAATTTTATTTGGAGACTTAAAATGTCTTGAAACTCCTAAAATTTTGATGGAGACTCTTAATGTTTTTGGATTTTGCAAGATTCATTAAAATTTTGAAGAGCGAGGAACTGCCAAGTCTCAAGATTTATTTGTCTACACTTTTAAAAGCTTTTTTAGATTGAAAAATATTCAGTTTGCACAATGAGTTGTGCACAGAAATAATACTTGAATATTTTATTGTATGCATATTGAAATGAATATTTATTTCGTGCAAAGAAATATGTAATTATAATTTTCTGATGCTAAACAAATATACATATTTCAAGTCTTATAGTGGATTAGTATACTGGAGATGTAAAATATAATTAAAATTGAAAGAAATGCAAGTGTTTAGGCCCGTTATTAAATTTTTAGAATTTAGTTCCATAGCGAAGGGTCAGATCTTCGGTTAATTTCTTTACCTATAGCAGCAATAACACCCAAGGAGTCGTTACATTGTATCGAGTATTTTAGTTTATTGCCTTACATCTGATTGCCAGAACCTTAAGCTTAACAGTAGAGTCCGTTATTTTCAGTTTCTATTCATGTCGAGGTACTGCTTGGTTTTATTACTTCCTATGGTCATTTTTTGGGAAAAACATGTTCTTCAAACGTCACAAGCCTCCATTTCCACCCCATTTGTACAGCCAATAGAAATTAAGTATTTTTCCCTCACCCTCACCATGTAAAAACTGTAAGCGTGTAACGTACCTTCATGTTCATAAGAAAAATGTCATTCGCTTCTCAATATTCGACATAGCAACATCTTGTATTAGTTTGTATAGTCTCCAAGTTTTGTCTCCAAGTTTTGGAGTGGTCCTGCAACATCTTGTATTAGTTTGTATAGTCTCCAAGTTTTGGAGTGGTCCTTCGAGTAAGGAAATAGTTATTTACTTTAAAATAAACACGAATTTAGTCGGCACACCACGTGCAATATTCAACAAAGCTCGAACGAATTTATTTCAATTACGAGCGTTAACAGCAAGAATATATAATTACAAGAATGCACATTTTTAAATTTATACACAAGAAAAATTACGAACATAAATAATTATAAAATGCATATTTGTTCCATTTCTGTCTTTAAGATGGAGTCGTTTAATATAACCTAACTTATTTTCTAAGACGGTATATTTTAAAAAAATGTGAAAATTAATTTTATTTCTGAACTTTACATACAAGTTTATAACTTTTATTTAGTATCTATTAGAAAACTTATAGCAAAACATTTATTGATGTTCTAATTTTTTGTATGCAGTGTAAAAATACATTAAAATAAAAAGGATCCAAAAAGAGATCGAAACGTTATTCTAAATTTGAAAAAGTAATTTTGTACACAAATTTAGTTTGTGAAAGAATTTTCGCTTGTTGTATTCATGAAAAGGCCCAAAATAGTAAAAATGTTGTCATAAATAATAAAAAGTAATTTTACGTATAAATTTAGTTTGTTAAAGTCTTTTTTTACATGCAAAAATGAATTAAAACGCTATGACAAATATTAAAAAATAGTTTAATAAAAGAGTTATAGTAAAATATTACTAAACAAAAATACGGACATTAAAAAGTTTAATGTCTGTATTTTTGTTCATTTCAAATACTATTTTGCTCGTGTTCACTTAAGATGCAATCTAGAAATTAGTAATAATTTATTTTCAAGATAATATGTAAAAGAATGTAAAACTTTGACTAATAAATAGACTACACAATAGTGATTACTTGGTGACCGCTGACCGGAACCTAATCACGACTATTATCTGAGCAAGTAGATGTTCAAGGAAGTGCTTGGCTCATGTTTCACCAGTTTGCTCGTCTCTGACTACGTTGTAGAAGAGAATAAGACATTGAAAGTAAATGTGATAGAATGAAACGCCATTTCTAATTCTTCTAACTTAAAGTCATTTAAACGTGATGGTGTTCGGTATCACTTTCATCTGCCATTTGTAATTGTCACTAATTCGACGGAAACAGTCTTGCGAGTGCAGAGCGTAGAATGTGAAAACTTGTTTGCTTTTATTTTCACATATTACGTAAATTATTACTGTTATGTAATCGTTGTAATGAGATCTGAATTTAAAGGTGTACTAAGTAATGACTTATTGAGGAAAATTTACGAAGGTGATAATTTATTATAGTGAACATTGTCTTAGAATTGTGGATTGAGTTTCTGAGTGGAGGATTTGGGGATTTGGGGATGCGGGGATGCGGGGATTTAGAGATTTGGGGATTTGGGGATTTGGGGATTTGAGAATTCGGGGATTTGGAGATTTGGGGATTTGGGGATTTGGGGATTTGGGGATTTGGGGATTTGGGGATTTGGGGATTTGGGGATTTGGGGATTTGGGGATTTGGGGATTTGGGGATTTGGGGATTTGGGGATTTGGGGATTTGGGGATTTGGGGATTTGGGGATTTGGGGATTTGGGGATTTGGGGATTTGGGGATTTGGGGATTTGGGGATTTGGGGATTTGGGGATTTGGGGATTTGGGGATTTGGGGATTTGGGGATTTGGGGATTTGGGGATTTGGGGATTTGGGGATTTGGGGATTTGGGGATTTGGGGATTTGGGGATAATGTGGGAAATTTGGAATTTGGGATTTGGGGAAGTTCGAATTTGAGGATTTGGCGATTTGGGGATTTGGGGATTTGGGGATTCGGGGATTTGGGGATTTGG